CAACCATGAGGACCCAGAAACACTGAAAAGATCGAATATAAAAATGAGATACAGAACACAGCACTTGAAAGCTAAGGGGAATTGGAAAGAAAAATGAATAGCTCCTTAGAAAGCTATAACAAACCAGGGAATGCAAATTACACAAAGACAAAAGGTTCAAGAACTTCAAACTAAACTATGCCTTGAAGAGAAACTTAATTTATTTAATCCACAGTAAACATACTACATACTGCAGTTCAAATACTGCTCTCCTAATATAGACACACAGTAATCTCCTTAGACCATTATTTAAACAGACCTCCAACTGAAGAGAAAAACAATCTTTGCTAGTACACATGCATTGTAATTTGGATATTATGGAGTAAATCCAAATAAACAAGAATAAAAGACACTGAAGACACAAATATGAAGGTTAGTCCTATTTTAATCATCTGACTGCCACAGAAGACTCTCTATAAATAACTTACAAGATTTGCCATTTGATTTAAGAATCCATTTTTTCATTGAAAATACATCACCAACCCGTGTCCTTTTTAAAAATTTGACTCATAAAGTTGCAACAAATTTGAACCACAGAACTCAGTGATTACATATATTCAAGGGATTTATTACAGAGCTGCTAGCATGGAATGATTATTCCATGCTATGACTTTTTCTGAAGTTTGCAAATTTATTCTTGTTCTGCACTGAAACAAGACAAATGAAATTAAGCTGTACTTAAATGATCATTTTCAGATCGAAAGATCAGGTTTTCTATTCCTTGGCCATGTCTACACAAGGGACAGACTGTGCAGTTATTAAGCATAAGCAAGTACTAAATGCCTGTGCAGTAACTGGCATTAGTGCGTAGTACCATCCTGCACAGGTTTTTTTTCTGATGCTACTGTGCAATGAGCTACTGCGCAGTAGTATCGCATCATGGTTAACGGCCAGTGACACTGCTGCACAGTAGCAATGAGCAACTGCATAGTAGGTCATTGCTACTGCACAGTAGTGTCTCATGTAGATGCACCCCTTTTCTTTAGATGTGACCACATTCCCCCTTGGCCTACAGAAACCCAGCTGTCAAAAATGTTGTCCAAATCAGGAGATACTTAAAAAAACCAACATAATTCAATAAGGAAAATATTTTTTTCATGTATGCTTTGATTGTCCATGTAACATGTCTATTCCATCTAAAAATCCTCTGTTTTTCACTTAATTCCAGCTCCTACCTTTTCGCAGACTCTACAAAAGAGGAGGTGAGTTTTTCTTTACTTAAGAAATACACATAAATGGATTGATTGCTATCACTTTGCAATGAAGGACAAAGTTCACCTATTAAAGCATAACACTGGGCACTTTCCAAGATACGTTCAAATACATATACAAGGGGCTGGCATAGGGATACACATGTCTTTCAGGAAGGTGCTTTGTGTTTCAAAGACTGCCCAGAAAAAAGGATAATGAGGCATACTGGCAGTTGCTATGGCAACAGTGTGTTCCTTTATAAATGAAAATGCTACAGCAAATAGGCACCTTGGGGAAAAAACAACAACAAAAACAACAACAAAACCTTGTAAACTGACAACAAACAAGACATTGCTGCCCTGGGCTTTAAAAGCTTGTACAGCCTCCTGCTATTTTTTTTTTTAATATACAGGAATGTGGGAGGTTCAGAGTGGCATGTGAGAAAACCACACACAAGCACAAATCTTATTAACAGGCCTCACATAACTCCACTTTGAAAATGGGGGCAGCTCCAGAGTTGGAGGAATTGCACAGTGGGGGAAAATACTGTGATGTTTTACAGGAAAAGAATGCAAGACACACATTCATTATTAAGATTGAGGGTGGTGTCACATGTTCAACTTAACACTTACTAAGTGTGGCTAAAAGGCAAGCAAATGCACATTTAAGCAGGTTAGTACAGGTGTACTAAAGTAAGTTCTTTCTTTAGAGTTCCTCTGAGTGTGTAAATACCAAAAAAGGGCCACTTAAATGACCAGGATAAATAGAATGTCATCCTTAATATCTGATAGCTTGAAAATACAATGGTCATTTCCCAATTTAGGTATCTTAGAAAAATATTAGTGGATGAGCACCTTAGGTTTTTTGGTTCCCTCTGAAATCACTGCAAGATTGGATGATCAATCCTAGAAAAGTTCATCAAGGTGTCTATCTGCAATAAGCTTGCAGAAGGTAAGATTCTGAATGACAGCCAGCATGGCTTTGTTGTGGGCCAACCTCATCTCCTTCTATAACGAGGTAACTCACCACCTGGACATGAGAGAACAGGTTGACATTGTATATCTAAACTTCCAAAAGGCCTTTGATCTAGTATCTCACAATGACCTCATGAGAATTGGAGGACTGTGGGCTTAACTCCAAGACAGTCAGGTGGGTGAGAAACTGGCTGCAGGATAGGACTCAGAGAGTCATAGTGAACAGATCTGTGTTATCCTGGCAAGAAGTGGGCAGTGGTGTCCCGCAAAGGTCAGTACTCAGTCCAGTACTTTTCAACATCTTTATTAACGATTTGCATGTGGGGGTGAAGAGATTACTGGCCAAGTTCGCAGATGACACCACATTATAGGGAAGCGTGGTCATGCTTGAAGATAGGCTACAGTTACATGTGGACCTAGACAGGCCAGCAAGTTGGGCGGATTGGAACCTGATGAAGTTCAATGTTGAGAAATGTTAAGTGCTCCACCTCGGGACGAGCAACCCCACACACCTACAGGCTTGGCAGCACCAAACCTACTAGCACCACAAATGAAAGGGACCTGGGGGTAATAATACATTACAGTATGAATATAAGCCAGCAGTGCAATGCTGTAGCCAGTAGGGCAAATAATACTCTGGCATGCATCAATCGATGCACCTCCAGCAAAGCCAAGCAAGTGGACTCGATGAACTTCCGAGGTCCCTTCCAGCCTTACAACCTATGAATCTATGAATCATACATCATGTAGGACCAGAACCCTTAAGGCCAGGGACAACCTGCTCATGGAAAGCAAGTGTAGGCAGCTCCAGGCTGCCCAAGTTCTTTTGCCATAAAGCAAAAGAATCTTTGGATCCAGCCCCCTGCACCAAGCAGGAAAGATAACTGGGGGTCAGGTGACCCCAGCAAGGTGACTGTTTAGTCTTCTCTTCAAGATTTCCAGGGTAGGTGATGACACCACCTCTGGAGGGAGCTTATTCCACAGTCTGGACACCCTGACTATGAAGAAGTTTTTCCTAATGTTGAGCCTGAATCAATCTTCCAGGAGCTTGTGGCCATTACTCCTAGTTTTCCCCTCAGGTGCCCTGGTGAACAGTTGCTCACCGAGCCTTTGATGTACTCCCCTAGTGTAGTGGTAAGCTGCTACCACGTCCCCTCTCAGCCTTCTTTTCCTCAGGCTGAAGAGTCCTGGATCCCTCAGCTTTTCCTTGTATGGATGTCTACTACAATACAACTGTCACAATTTATTACTATATTTTGTTGTGGCCACATTGTGCTATGACAAAAGGTATGAACATGTATTTGCTGTTGCTTTGGATTGCCATAAATTTTATGGCAACCCAAATTTAAAGGTGATGACAGACAACATCTGTTTCTACCCATATAGACATATCAATTCTAACTTTAGGTTACTGAACTCAAGTGCCATTGACAGTGTAACTATAGCACAATGAAAGCCAGTCCAGGAGAGCTGCCTAAATATTTACTCAGAATGTGGATTTTTCAGGCTACACTAAGTTCCATACTTTCATGAGTACCTCGCTAGCAGAACCCAAGCTAGTCAATTTAAAATAGCCTACACATGCTGCACTCACAGCAATAACTGTACTTCAGACAGACTCCAGAAGGAGTTCACACGTCCATTTCCATTGCTTTTCCTCCATCTCTAGTTACTTGGGGTTCTGATAACAGCAAGTGTTAATGTTTTGTTATGGGACTCTGGAAATGTCAACATGTTCGAAATCAGCAACAACATGATTTATTTTTTCCTGGAAATTTCCAAATGTCTTTAAAAGTGACTTTCCTTCTCCAGCTGTGTGTTCTTACCTAGCAATGATTGTGTTATGATGACCTTTACATGATTCAGTAGATTCAGAAGCTGCAGGGAAGAACCTTAAGGACCTGCTGTTTTGTCTTATGTAAAAATGTTCTTGTGCTGAAATGCTTTACTGTTCAGTGGACTGAGTTCAGTACTTAAAAAGATTAATTTTAACAAACAGTCCCAAACCACTTTTTCAACTTCATAGTGTCTTTGAGTCCACAGGATGTCATAACAGCCTTTAAGAGTAGCACAGTCTACTTTTTATTACACTGCCAACCCAGGTAATTGAACTGCTGTCTGCAACCTATCAGCTTTCTAGAGGTAATGTAATTTTCTTTCTTAAATACCCGGCAAATGATATATTCATAACTGTTATATTCCACTCATTTGTCACTGAGAGATCAACTTAACACAGCATTTAGATGATCATCTGTACCAGGGAATAACTAAAAATGCACATTTTCTTGTTGCAATACTTATTGCCACCTTGAAATATGTAGATTTTAATTTTTCCTCTTCCCTGGTGGCAAAGCTAGCAAACTTGTTAACATTTTTTGTTTAAAGAAAGGCAGATCAACTGAACCATTACACTGAAATTTATACTTGGAATACGTGGTAAAGGTATAATATAAAATGGTCAGCATTGATCCAACTATTTAAATTGAAATTAAATTCCCATGGTTTTCAATGAGAAATGAATAAAGGCCAAAGCAGGGTACTTTTGAAAATCCTACTGTGAAATGACAGCATACCTCTAACTTCAAAAAATAATAGTATGCTACAGCAATGAATTAATGTTACTTGTAATACCAATAGATCATTTCAAATATGTATGTCTATAAGCATTTCAAGCATTCTGCTACAGTTTTGTGTATTCAAACTTTAAGGAAAATGAAAAATGGACAGCACTACAATTTTTTCCAACAGTTTAAATGAATCCACACTAGCTTTTAAATAGTAGTTATGTGATCCTACCTGTGGGTCAGACAATCTGGATAGATCAGGATACAAGTAGAATTTTATTCCTTCAGAAGCCCCTGGTAAAGTTACTCCTCGAATAAGAAGAATCAGTAGCATCATATATGGGAATGTGGCTGTTACATATACCACCTATCAAAAAGAAAAACAACATGAGAAAATATCTTTTTCCAACAAAGTGTTCACTGCAATTATTTTCTTTACAGTAGTCCAGACACAGTACAGTACATGATGCTTTAGAAAAACAGCCGAGTCTTACTCTAACATTTTAAATAGTCCTTTGTGATGGGATGAATTCCATCCACAAGTGTATAGAAATTCCCCATCTTAAAGAAATTAGGTATAGCACTTTATCTCACACAGGCTGGGAATTCCCCCTTCCCCCCCCAAAGTAAATTACTTACCTCACTGCATAATATTTAACCAAATATTATACATTGACTAAAATAACTGGTTTTCCATAACAAATAATACATAGTCTAGCAAGTTAGCTATGAATTAACTTGTACTGAAAATTACAGCAGCAAACTAATTAACTTTCAATAAACTATTCACCACAGCATGGCCATTTCTAAGGCAGACTGAAACTTCTATGTTGCCTAACCTAGCTAATATTTCTACTGGCCCTCAGGTTAAATAGCATATTGATCTCTATTTTGACCTTGAGGGCTCAGTTATATCACCCTTTTTTGCACAGTATTTTCATGCCAAATTTTCAAAACTGCTCAGGTCCCTACAACTCCCAATTTAATACACATGGCCAGATTTTTCAAGAAGGCAGGTAGTTGAGTGCATATTGGTTGCTGGACTCTTGGGAACCTGCAAGAAGTCCTATTGTTAAATTATCTAGAGGCAATTTCAATGGAATTACTTTATATGTCTTTATACAGACATACAGGTGGCTATTTACATTTGTGTACAGTGCTAGTGTCACAGTGGAATCCACCTTGCCTTGGAAATTTCCTTTTCTATATTTAACAAAATATGGTCATAAAATTTTGCAACAATTCTCTAATGTCCTGTGTAGTCATTTTCATCTATACAAGATGGGTATACAATTATAGTACTTTAGGGTGATATAGCTGTGATGGTCCAGCAAAACGTGAGGAGCAAGGATATTTGTAGGTTGTATCTTTTACTGGACTAACTGCATAGTTGGAAGAAACTTAACAGAGAGATTGACTTTATGGCTCATCAGAGATGCCTGTTTTCTCTGTTTAAAAATTACAAATTCTCTGATAAAAACTCCAAAATTCTCTGATTAAACCCCCCTCAAATCCACGTTTCCTCTTATTAAAATGAAACACCGCTCCCCCTGCCCCCTTCACTCACCAGGATGTCAGTTCAGCTATAGCTATCCTCTCCCTGCTGCATTGTGGTACTGAGCAGCCCTGATATACTGGTGCCCTGCTCCTGTTGTTGCCCCTCACTTCCAAACCACAGCCCCCCAGCCATACCAGTTCTCCTTACTTCTAACCCACTATCCCCTGGCCCTGCCAGTGCACCTCACCCCTAACCCACAGCCCCCTGGTCCAGCTAGTGTCCCTCACTCCTGACCCACTGTCCCCTGCTCCCAACCCCAGCCCTACCATGTGTGAGGAAGGAGGTGGGTGTGTGGGCACAGGTGACACAGCAGGGGCATAGGCAGATATGTCTCCCCAGATTTCTGTATCCACAGCAGAGCATGGGACTGCACCTTAGCAGCTATGGCAGTGCAGTTCTCCTTCTTGTGCCAGGTCCCACGCACTGGGCTGCAGAGGTAGCTCCTGTCTGGAGCTGGTCCAGCCCAGCCAGGATGCAGCCTCACATACCACTGTCAGTTGAGAAATCTGGGGGTGGGGAGATGGCCCCATAGACTTACCTGGAGGAGGCTGCAGGAGCTGCTCTCCATCACACTGCCTCGTTGCCACCTGCATGTGTAGTTTCCTGGGTTTTTCTCCTTTAAAGGAGAAAACCCACATTTTTCCACAGCAAACAGAAAACCCGAATCCCTGCTCATTATCACAGATTCCCACAAATCTCTCTGCACTTCAGAGATAATAATGATCTTCTTGTATGGTTTTGCTTTTCCACTTTTCAGTTTATCCTTTCTATTGCATTTTTCTTGTCTGTTAACTACCTTGTAATGTCTATTATATCCTGTTTCTACTTACATATGGAGTTTCACACATACCTTTGTTCTATCTGCTCAAGCTGTGCCTGCTTTATTAGTCAGAGACCTGAGGAAGGGTATTTGGTAACTTAAAGTGTATCTGTATCCTTCCCAAATATCCTGGTCCAATAAAAAATATCACCACAAAAATCTGTGCATCTATATAATTATATTAACTTGACATGAAAATATTGTTCACCCACTTGCAAAAGTTTAAATGACTATACAAGAACAAGAAGGAATCTAGTCCCACATACTTCCAAGGCCTTTGATATGAAGAATTGATTGTATGGTATGCAAACATATGTATTTTTAATAAGGAAAATGTTGTAGAGTCTTTCATAGCCATTTAGGATGTAAATACCTATATCAGAGAATGTAAATATTATTGTTTGGATTTTCAAAAATGCCTACATATTTTTTCTGCTAAAATTTCTACCCAATAGGGCTAGGTTAAAGTTTCTGGTGACTAGTTAAATTTAATTACAAATGTACTTTCATTCATCCCCCAAATAGGGGATGTTTCAACTGTAAAAATATTTTTTAGGGCTGTATTCAGGCAGTGTTCAACAATTCATTTGTGAAAATTAGTCTGCTTAAAGGTGTCTCAATTGTGACACCCAAAAATGAAGACACTTAAGCTCACTAAGGACCAAATTTTCCAAAGTATTCACTTGTCTAGTCAAATCCCCATTTAGGGATATTTTGAGAATCAGCCTGATTCCTTGAACATTTAGACCATACTTTTCTGCCTCGGTTTCTAGATCTGCAAAATGGGGATGACAATAACACATCTTTGGTGTTTCTGAGTGTGATGTTAATTAAGATTTGAATGAAAAATGCAAACATGAACATCATAAGTACCAGAAACACAGACTATTAATTGTGATGCATTTTGCTATGAATCGCTGATTAAATGGTCAATAACCAGGTGATCCAGATGCAGCAAATAAATTACCAAATAAATATGTAAAAAAAAAAAAAAGATGTAATGGAATCAATGGATCTGACTCTGCAGCCCTCTACCCATTGGCTTTAATGACCCATCCTGGCATAGAAGGGCCACAGAATGTAACTCACCATGGTTTCTGGACTACACTGTTTATTCAGTTCAGTATTTCAGTCTTTTTCAAACTGCTTTTCTCCTTGTCTGTCCCCTTAGTAGGGGTAAGCATTTAATCAGGTTGATGAGTCATCAATGGGGCTTTATACCTCAGTTTCCATTAATCATTTAAAGAATAACATTTTCTTGTATCGTGTTCTATTATGTCATATCACTTCACAATATGCCACCCTACCATTGTCCTGTGTCATTTTTAGCAGTATAAGAACTGCCTTAGGACTGATTCATCTCATGATGCACCAGTGAAAAGTTATTATATGTTCATTTTTTTACCATGGACACAAGTACAGATCCATAAGACTGTGCTAGAGACTGTGCTAGACCACAGAGGCCCCTGCCAGACATTCCATATATTATGTAATTAACTGGTTAATTGTGCAATAACATTAGACAAGCCACATGTGCAAAGTAACTATCACAACATAAACATGTCCATCTAGCTACAAAAAGAGCCAACCAGGTACAAAGTTAGTGTTTGAAAATGTGTAACAACTTTATATCTTGTTTCTATCCATCTTTAAAATTAATGTCTGGCAGAGCCCAGAAATTCCTACCTCCAACACATTAGGATAAGAGAAAAGTCGAAATGGGTACCAAATGCACAGTAAGGGGCACATGTAGATGCTCCCCCTGTTGCACACCTACAAGGCACATTGCTCAGAGATACCAAAAGCACCCTAATCTGCCGTAGGTAAAGCAGGTCTGTGGCCGCCAGTGCAATGGTTGTTAAAATACATTAAGAGATCCAAGGAAGAGGTCTATACTCACACTACAAAGAAAGACAACCCCTTCCCCCCCACCCCCCGGATCCACCTGCTCTACTTAATTCTGTTGCCGAGTTTGCTCCTCTTCAATGTGCACCTGCTCCAGGCTGAGGAGATTTTCTGCTGAAGTCCTTTGCATGTGGCCAGGCTCCTGGGCTTGCAACTACTTGACAGAGTATTCCAGACACTGCTACCCCCAGATCACCCCTAATCAATACTTATCTAACTTCTTGAAAACCTTGAATGAAGGAAATTTCACAGCTTACCTAGGCAATCTATTCCACTGCTTCACTGTTATAAGTGAAGAAGTTTTTTTTTCCTGATATCCAATCTCAACTCTTCTACAACTTCAAGCCATTTGTACATTTCCTGCTCTCTGAAAGAACAGAGAAAGGTGCCCTCCCCCTTCTTTATGGCAGCCCATTCAGTGTTTCAAGATTGCTATCAGCTCTCTTAATTATCTTTTCTGCAAATGAACATACTAATTTCTTTCAACCTCTCCATCTATTGCTCTTTTACAGAGCATTACAGGCATAGCTACTCCCAGATCATCCCTGACCAATACTTATCCAACCTCTTCCTGAACACCTCCAGTGATGGAGAGTCTACAATTCTCCTAAGCAAATACAAAATTCCACTGCCTCACTGCTCTAACAGTGAAGAACTTTTCCTGATATCCAATTTAAACGTACTTTAGCATACTTCAAGCCACTGTTGTTCTCCCTCTTCTTTATGTTAAACCTTCAGATATTTGGAGACTGCTATTATGTCTCCTCTTAAGAGCCTTTTCCACAAGCTGAGCATACTATTTCTTTCAACTTCTCCTCGTATCACTTGACTTCCAAGTCCTCTTTAACTTCTGCCTCTGGACCCTCTTTAACTTCTCCATTTCCTTTTTGAAATGTGGAGTCCAGAACTGCACATGATACTCTAGATGAGGCCTAACCAGTGCCAAGAAGAGACACTATCACTTCCAGTATCTTGTATCTAAGGATCCTATTGATGCAGTCCAAAACTGTATTTGCTTTTTGTACATCTAGATCACCCTACAGACTCAGATTGAGTCTGTGAACCACCAAGACTCCTATATCCT